CCGTATCCCCTATGCAGCTCCCTGCCCCCACATATCCCCATGCAGCCTCCCACAAACAGCCGCCCTGCACACTCTACGCTGCCTCCCACCCCCATGCAGCGCCCACAAACAGCTCCCGTGTACCCCCATGTAGCCCCCACAAGCGGCCCCACCGGGAGAACGGGCCCCCCAAACCTACTTCATCGTGGCAACTACAAGGCCCCGAACTCTCGCGCACGCGCACTTCTCGGGGAGCCCGCCCGGGATGTGAGACAGCGCGCACCCGAGTCCCCGCGGTAAGCCCCGCCCCTGGGCCGAGCTGCGCGGTCCCTTGTTTGTCGCCGCTTGCTGGGTGGGGGAGGGGAGCGAAAAGGGGGCGGTTGACCCCGAGCGGTTTTCCGCCGGCTTCTTCCCGGGCCGAGGGCCTGGCCAGGCTCCTCAGCGCGTTTGGAGCGCTGCGTTCCCAGGGGCCGCCCAGGGCCAGTCATCGCCGACCAGAGATCATGGCGCCGACAAGGGCTGAGCGCCGCAGCGCCTGTGGGCAGCGCGTCCCGCTGGGCCATGTCCCATGGCTGTCCGAAGCCTGCGCCACGCGGCCCACAGGACTGTGCCCCTGGAGGGGTGCGAGCGGATTGCGGGGGCTGGGTATCGAGAGGGTGTGGGGGGATGGTGGGTGTCTGGCTGGGAAGCAGGCGGCTCGGGGGGCTGTTCCTGGGGGAGGCAGAGGAGATTGTGCTGGAGGTGGGTGCTGGGTGCCTGTGGGAAGTGGGGAGGCAGTGGTACCCCTGGTTCACTCTCACTCCTACACAGCCCTGTGAGTACTGGGTGCCCAGCCACAGGGGCACAACTAGAATTTTCCTAAAGGGGGGAGGGGCTGAGAGGCATGGGTTCCCCCCTTTGCATTGCCATGACCAACCTTCCCCCTCCCCTCTCCTTCCCTCCCACCAGAGAAACCAGCATAGTGAGACCTCTTCCCCCATCCCCTCTCCTCCCACCAGAAACCCAAACTAGCTGAGATCTCTCCCCTCCAATCATAAAGACCGGGACCAGCTAGAAACTCTCTTCCCATCCCCCTTGTATTAATTTAGATCAGTGGTTCTCAACCAGGGATATGCATTCCCCTGGGGATACACAGGGTTTTCTAGGGGGTACATCAACTCATCTAGATCAGTGGTTCTCAGCCTGGGGGTTGTGACTCCCAGGGGGGTCGCAGGATGGGTTTAGGGATGATGCAAGTGGAGGGCTGGCGTTACGGGGTGGCAAGTAGGGCAATTGTCCCAGGCTCCACGCAAAGCTCAATTACATGCTTCAAGTTCTGGGCAGCAAGGCTCGGGTTTCAGACTCCTGAAAGGGGTACAGTAATCAGGAAAGGTTGAGAACCCCTTAGATGGAATATATAGGCCCAGAGAGTCAGAGATGTTGACATGATCTGTCATTGTCCAACATTAAGCAGTGTTAAACACGGTTTGGGGTTTGGTATACAGAGACATCAGCCTGCTTAGTGTCTGGGCAAACATGCCATTAAACAGCCTTGTAAACTTTTATTAAAGATCCAGAAAAGGAAAAACAGTTAAAGCATTTGAAATGTAAAGTATCAAGTAAGGCTTTCATTTTAACAGCATACCTTAGCCCCATCCCTTTTCCCTATAGCTGGAGAGAGTTTTTAGCAGGAATCCCCTGCCCCCCTTATTTGACAGTCTCTTAGGGGTTTTGAAGATGACAATTACTCTCCTTTTTGGGGAAAAAAAGAAGTTAGTTAGAGATGGGCTGGGGTTGTTGATGTTGTTAAAGTTTGATCCCATTTCCTAGAAGAAAAAACATGACAAACATACAAAAGAGGAGAGAAAAGAACAGCAAAGATAGACAATGCAGCTTCTGCCTCTGACTTGTAACAGCATTGGACTGTTTAGGGCATTGCTTTTAGCTTCCTCTTTCTGGTCACTGGCTCACAGTAGTGATGTAACATATACAGTCTTGGCTTGGCCAGACTCTCATTAGACAGAAGGAAAAAAAGAGGGATAGGAAAGAAAAGAAATAAGGTAGTGAAGGAAAAGGACACATTGTGGGGCAGAAAAACAAAGTCTTACAACCCAGCCAGAGCCAGTGGATGTGGTGATGTCATCTGGGTCCTGCTGGCCTGGTCTGATCAGGACATCTTTCAGGATTGGTATAAAGGTCTGGCATCTCAGAAGATAGTGAGGGTGGCAGCTGGGCTGGTGAAGTTCACTCCAGTAGCCAATTTTTCTCCCCCAAAGTCTCTTTAAGGACGCCAGAAGGGAGTGATTGATGGAATAGCCCGTCCTTTCATATGCATCCGAAGAAGTGGGTTGTAGCCCACGAAAGCTTATGCTGTAATAAATTTGTTAGTCTCTAAGGTGCCACAAGTACTCCTGTTCTTTTTGCATCCTTTCATTGTTTTGTCCATCAAGTAGGTCTAATCTCTTGTGCAGCAGTTTTAGTGCATTGATTTTTGGTCTCTTGCAAGTTGCTGTTCTTGTTTACTAGGCATGATCTTAACACAGTCTGAGTTATAACAACAGGCTTTTTTGTTTGGATTAGTTCAGTCTTGCTGTCTGTCCTTTGCATGTTTTCCTATCAACAGTTGTTGATATATTGTGACTTTTATGAACTTATTTATGAACTTATTCACTTCTTACATTTGGACTCACAATTAGGGTAAATTTGTAGGCCCAGTTATCACACCTCCCACTGGTGAGACCCAAACCAGTTTCTCCTTCCCCTCCTCACCCCACCAAAGAAACTGGGACCAACCAGGCCCTGCCCTCCCCTCTCTGTCAGAGGGCCAGGGAAGGCTGGGACCCCTGGTTCTTCTGCCAAGTTGCCCTATCCCATACTTGCCGAGCCCAGTGTGACTATTGCAGCTGAAGGCTCCAACATCTGCTCTGCTGCTTCCCGAGCATCAAAAGTAATAGGCTAGTCTGTGGCTGACACATGCCGCTGCCTACAGCTGCATGAGTGACCGCACCAACCATCCTCTCCCTCCCTCTAAACCCAGTGCCCCCTAACTCCAAGCAAGGCTGGCTGTCGGGAACTGAAGCTGTGACAAAAGCAAAAGTCTCCAGAATATTGACAGATTTATTGAAAAGTTGCAGTTTAGCAACTTGTCATAGTAAAGATTGAAAAATCTTCATGAGAACTAAAAAGTTGCTAGATTTAGTGACAAATTCGCTAAATTGGGAACGCTGCCCCAGGCCAGGCAAAGACCTGGTTTCTGTGCATGATACTGTGTTTGCCTGCTGGGGAGACCTTCCTGTGATGAATGGACATAGCAACAGGTACTGATCTCTTTCTGTGTACCCAGACAGGGGGCTTCTTGGCCCCCTTGCTCCACAGGCATCCTCTCTCTCCGAATAGCCAACCAGAGCATCAACATTCCAGGCCCCATTGCCCCAGATACCCTCTCACCACACAGCTACTTTGCTCTAGTTTCCTTGGCTTGTTGATTAGCAGCACTACAAAAACATGGCAGTGGCTGTTTAGTGAAGCCCTCCCTGTGAACCCATGTAGGCCCTATTGGTGCATTTGTCTGGTTGGTGTAGCATATCAGGATTTGGACACCCAGTTCTCATTAGATGTAATGGGATTCGGGCAGCTTTGAAAATCACCTTGAATATCTAAGGTCCCCCAGTTAATACTGAGCACTGGATTCTTAGTTGCTGACATGCCAGGAGAGGTTGTAAGATGGGGTGATGGTGATGCTTTTAGATAATGGATGTAGATGACAGCAGCTGCACTGAAAATCAGACTGAAAAAAAACCACAACAGATTTTGAGGCCAGAGATTTATTCCTCAGATTCATTATTTTTAGCAGGTGATGATCTCACCATTGCTGTGTTTGAGTCACCAAGCTGTGAGTAATGTGACTGACACCAGACCAGGGACCTGCAGCACCGCCCCTGTGCTTGGCTCCTAGCACTGATAGCCCTAGACACTGAGGTTCTGATGCTACTGGGATTGCTCAGTCTGCTTGATCTCCCCAGAACGCTCCTCCACAGCACAGCTGATTTAGCAGCAGGGGCTAGCTCCAGGCTCAACCTGAAAGCAGTAACTTCCTCTCTACAATGTGCAGGGCTAGGGGCTTAGCATTTTTGGTCACTAGACTGTCCTTTTCCAGGGGGACAAGATGGGTAAGGTAATATCTTTTATTGGACCAACTTCTGTTGATGAGAGAGACAAGCTTTTGAACTACACAGAGCTCTTCCTCAGGTCCAGAGGAAGAGCTCTGTGTAATTCAAAAGTTTGTCTCTCTCTCCAACAGAAGTTGTTACAATAAAAGAGATTACCTAACCCCCCTTGTCTCTCTAATGTCCTGGGACTGACACGGCTACAACACTTTTCCAGAAAAGCAGGAAATATCTTAATTCAGATTATTATAGCAACGTTCAATTGGAAAAGATGTCCCCCATATGCTTTAGAGAAAAGAATAAATCACCCTCCACAGCAACAAATGGGACGCCTGGAACATGGGCAGCTGTGTAGCAGCAACAGTACAGGATAGGAAGTAAAGAAGAACCTTGTATTTATCTAAAACTGAAAGGGAACATTAGTTAAATTCATAGATTCCAAGGCCAGAAGGAACCATTGTGATTATCTAGTCTGACCACCAGTGCAGGCCAGAGAACTTCCCCCACAATAATTCCTAGAGCAGATCTTTTAGAAAAACATCCAATCTGGACTTTAAATTGTCAGTGATGGAAAATCTGCCATGGCCATTGTTAAATTGTTCCAATGGTTAATTACCACTTGTGGTAAATGAAGGGGGAGGGGTAGCTCCCTTTTATGGACCCAGATTTCAGAGTAGCAGCCGTGTTAGTCTGTATCCGCAAAAAGAACAGGAGTACTTGTGGCACCTTAGAGACTAACAAATTTATTAGAGCATAAGCTTTCGTGGGCTACAACCCACTTCTTCGGATGCATATGGACCCAGTTAGCTATAAAATCCCTCTTAGTAACTGTTCTCTACTTGCTTTACCTGTAAAGGGTTAAAAGCATCACTGTGATGCATAGGTAAAAGGAAGTGAGTGGGCACCTGGCCAAAAGAGCCAATGGGAAGGCTGGAACTTTTTAAAATTAAAACAAGACTCCCCTTTTGTCTCTGTCTGTCTGTTGTTCTTGGGGAGAAGCAGACAGGGAGCAGCAATGCTGTAAGAAGCTTTGGGCCAGGTAGGAAAAATCATCAGTATCATACTTAGAAACTACTCATCTAAAACCCCAGATATGTAAGTAGATTAGGAAATGTCTAAAAAGATCG